TTAGGTTGTGTCTGTCGATAGGTAGATGTTCAGTTCCTGTTAGCTTTACCAGGATTGTGATCTCATGGCCTACCATGTGCTATTTTCATGGCCAGGAGATTGTGTTACACTTTTCATTCTTAGTGTCCTTAACTCTTTGAGTCCCAAGGAACGCATCATACGTTCATAGATTCCTACTTAGAAGCCAAATAAACGCAATATGCGCCGATTTTACATCTCTCTTGACTACCCCTTGGGTCTGTGATGCTAAACCCCCTGGGACTCAAGAGTTAATATCCTTTATTTGCCATCGTGCTGGTGGGCAGCTGCCTGTTCCTCTAGAAACTGTGTCTTCTGGCTTTGTTATTTCTAAATCCCAAGGCAATAAACACACTGATTATGAGCCAGTTTTCTTTTGATGTTCCAGTCTTTAGAACATGTTTACTTCCCTTTGTGCTTAATCGATGATATTCTGAGAATAGTCTGTACATGAATCACATTGTAGTTATGATGATGTAGGTAGAGTTTTTAAATTTTGAAAATGTGCAAAACAATTATAAATTACAAATATAAAAACCCAAGAACTACCCAATCCCAAATATGAGTTAACCTCATGGCACCGAACATCTTCTTAATTTATAAATAATGATCACTTGATTATATATGAAATTATTTTTTCACTGAATTTTTGGGGGCACAATTTTAACAGTGAATTTCAAATGCAACGGCAGCACACCCTTACAGAGCCTTCTTGTTGTCTTTTATTTAGTTTCACATGTATCAAAGCGTAGGTAAACTGACATATTTTTGGAACTAATGTTTAACTGTAGAATAAGACATAAAATGAAAAAAAAAAGTTAAAACTTTCAAGTTTATCTTAATATTTCTACTGTACCGTTGTAACACACTTAGAGTGTAGAGTTGCACTACTGCTATTATCTACACCATATTATCCCTTATAATTTGCATGTGGGTTTTTAGCTTTGTATTCTAGATCATTACATGTATAAACATATAAAAACTATGCCATAGCATAGCTTTATATATATATATATATATAATATATATTTATATATATATATATATATATATATATATATAAATATATAAATATATATATATATAAATATATATATATATAAATATATATATATATATATAATATATATATATATATATATATATATATATATATATATATATATATATATATATATATATATATATATATATATATATATATATATATATATATATATATATATATATATATATATATATATATATATATATATATATATATATATATATATATATATATATATATATATATATATATATATATATATATAAATGTGTGTGTGTGTGTGTTTATGATTATTACAAATACAGTGCAGACCTGATAAAGAGAACTCACTGGGGACCCAAGAAATTGTTCTTTTTATCAGAAATTCCTCTTGTCCAGAAAAGAGTTCAAATAAGAACAGTTGTTCTTTACAGCAGAAATCTGCCACATCAGAGATCACCCTATGTACCAGAATGTATTTTCGTAAGCAGTGTGATATTTCTCACCCAGTTCTGAACTAGCCCACAATGTACAGCGCCCCCATGTTGGTTCTAGTGCCCCATTTTGTTGGAAAGGTTGCGTGGCAGGGGGGACAGACTCGCTGCCCACTAACAAGCATATCTTAATGACTAATTAGGGGTTTGCTGAAAAGGAGAGGGGTTGAGACAAAAGAATCAGAATGTAACACACCAATGCCATTTTTGGGTAAATGCAGAAGATGGAAAGATATTTCCTCTAAAGTGGTCAGCAGTATTACTCTGGATGTCTCTTACAGTAATGGTCACTTGGCTTCTGTAACAAGGCAGTAGTCAGAAGGAAGGCAGAACAGGTCAGAGGTTGCAGTGTCCGCAGCTGAGTCAGAAGGAAGGCAGAACAGGTCAGAGGTTGCAGTGTCCGCAGCTGACTTGGGCAGACTTGGTTCATTCCAGTGTTGACTGGATTATTACAGAATCAACCAGAACAAAACAAAACAATGGATACAGCTGGAAATGTTGGCAAACACTGCAGCTAGGAACTGCACAGCTGATGATACATTTACTAAACCAGTGGCACCACTCTAGCTAGATGGGAGCGGCCACGGTGCGGTACTAAATCAGTGGCACCACTCTGGCCAGATGGGAGCGGCCACGGTGCGGTACTAAATCAGTGGCACCACTCTGGCCAGATGGGAGCGGCTACGGTGCGGTACTAAATCAGTGGCACCACTCTGGCCAGATGGGAGCGGCTACGGTGCGGTACTAAATCAGTGGCACCACTCTGGCCAGATGGGAGCGGCCACGGTGCGGTACTAAATCAGTGGCACCACTCTGGCCAGATGGGAGCGGCTACGGTGCGGTACTAAACCAGTGGCACCACTCTGGCCAGATGGGAGCGGCTACGGTGCGGTACTAAACCAGTGGCACCACTCTGGCCAGATGGGAGCGGCCACGGTGCGGTACTAAATCAGTGGCACCACTCTGGCCAGATGGGAGCGGCCACGGTGCGGTACTAAATCAGTGGCACCACTCTGGCCAGATGGGAGCGGCCACGGTGCGGTACTAAATCAGTGGCACCACTCTGGCCAGATGGGAGCGGCTACGGTGCGGTACTAAACCAGTGGCACCACTCTGGCCAGATGGGAGCGGCTACGGTGCAGTACTAAACCAGTGGCACCACTCTGGCCAGATGGGAGCGGCTACGGTGCGGTACTAAATCAGTGGCACCGCTCTGGCCAGATGGGAGCGGCCACGGTGCGGTACTAAACCAGTGGCACCGCTCTGGCCAGATGGGAGCGGCCACGGTGCGGTACTAAATCAGTGGCACCATTCTGGCCAGATGGGAGCGGCCACGGTGCGGTACTAAACCAGTGGCACCACTCTGGCCAGATGGGAGCGGCTACGGTGCGGTACTAAACCAGTGGCACCACTCTGGCCAGATGGGAGCGGCTACGGTGCGGTACTAAATCAGTGGCACCACTCTGGCCAGATGGGAGCGGCCACAGTGCGGTACAGGGCTATTAAACTCAGTTTACTCAGGGCCAAAATGTAAAAAAATGGAGATCATCACGGGAAAGAAGCCTGAAGTCCATCATAGAAAGATTCTTGCTGCAGAACAGCTGGCAATGATCCTGATCCTGGTGCCATTTGCTAGGCCTCCGCGGGCCAGAGTTGGGCAGTGGGCTGCCAGGTGAATAGCCCTGGGGTAGTGTCCAGATGCTTGCCTGTGGATCCACGGGTCATGAGTTGAAATCTGAGTAGAGCTGGACTTTTGCTGACCTTGGCCCCCAGAGCAAAATAATCTTAAATGAGATTTGGTCAAGTCCTGGGAAGTAAAGGTGCTCAGCGGGATATTGACCTTATCACCAAAAGGTGATCACTGATTGGTCTATAAAATATAGATATGGCACTATATACCTAACACTAGAAAATAGTCCTTTACGTAACTGTGGACACATCCATAGGTGCTCTATCTCTAGTTCACAAATCGACATATACTGGCTGAATGTTGAGCCTCCTGGCTTCAGTGACCTGGTAGGGTAGACAGATTTATTCAGTAAAAGGGAGCCAACTGATCAAATAATTTGAAACTTGATGAGGCTAGGAAATGGCATGATTTAATATTTAAATTATTTATTGTGTTGTTAAAAGAGAAAGCTTTCATGTCATGATCACAGTGTCTTTTATGGAATGACCCTTATATCTGTCAGTCAAACCAGACAACTCAGATACATTTATTCATGATTCTATTCACAGTTTACAGTTCCTAACTTTTATTCTATTCTTCTGTGACTATAATTTATTCTATCTGTTCTGTTACTTTAATTCATTATGTTTCAATTTGCCACTTTCATTTATTCTCTTCTCGTCTGTTACATTAATTCATTATTTTTCCATTTGCCATTTTTATTCTTTCTGTTCTCACCTGTTAATGTAATTCACTCTGTCCCATCTTTTTATTTTGTTTGGGGCTCTTAAAGACTAAGTACCGTAACTCTAATGAACAAACTTTAGAATACAAATGTTGAAATAACACCCCCCCCCCCCTCCACGATTCAAAACGTTACTCTTAGTGACTTCTTTGTCCTTTTAACCATTGGCAAAAGTTCTTTGCTTACCTGGCAATGCATGTAGGATTTCTCTGTTTGATGCAGGCTATGCCTGGCTATCTCAGTGTGTCTAAATATGTTAAGCAGTGTGTGGTGTGTTATATCTTTACTTCTTCTACAAAATCATAATGCAGGATATAAATATATTTTTAATAATTAAAAGTTAAATGAAACAAACAGCATAGAAACGTTACTTGTTATGATTATTTGTTTTCCCTTACTGACCTTGAATATTGAACACCCAACTTCACTGTTATTATTCCCATTCTGCATTCGTGCATTTTACCTAACAAACTATTCACCATTATTATTTATTTATAACATATTAATTTTAAACAAGCAGCTTACTGACCCATACTAAAATACATAATTTTTTTGTTCACATTGAGTGTCAATGTTTAAATGTTATGTTATCACAATCGACGTCACTGCACATTGGGCATTCCCATGCGTGCTCAGTCCTCTAATGCAGCAGCCACTCCAAAGTACTTCTACTAATTGTTCCCATGAAAAGCTGGTTATATTGTCTCCTATCTCGGCCTCGAAGATGGCATAGATGTGCTTCACCATGATTTACTCCCATGTCATGCAGCCGTGTTAGTGTCAGGAATTCCTTATCCACTAGCCCAGTCCGTACAGAGTTGACGATATCTGCTCTGTCCAGGCTTCTTCCCACATGCCTTGGTGCACTGCTTGCCAGTTGGTCCGCTCGCTCATTACCCTTTCTGCCCTCATGACCAGGTGTGTAGATCCAGGTGAGGGAGGTTAAGTCAATGTTTAAAGAAATATTTGTTTTGAATATAAGTTGATAAAGACAAAAGAAGTCAAAGCTTCCATACATAATTAATTACTGTTCATTTCTTTTCACAGCACCCGGTTATGGTGGATACCCAGGTACTAGACACTTTTATATTTACCAATTATAATAATCAGTAATATTCTTATATCTAATCAATCAATGCCAGACCTAATCCATTAAGCATTCACTTCTTATATGGTTTCTTATAACGCCAGGACACTTTCAATTTGCTGAACTCCCACAAGATTCTGCAGCAGGCAATGCTTGAGAGAAGAAATTTACTGCTGTGAAAAATTATGTGTTGTCACACTCCAAAACTATTCATTAGCTGTTACACAGTAAAACTCTACAATAACTGTTACACTCTCAAACTTTTTATGAACTCTTTCAGTGTAAAACTCTAAATTTACTGTTACACTCTAAAACTTTTCATGAGCTGTTGCACAGTAAAACTTTACAATAGCTGTTACACTCTAAAACTTGTAATGAACTGTTGCACAGTAAAACTCTACATTAACTGTTACACTCTAAAACTTTTCATGAACTGTTGCACACTAAAACTCTACATTAACTGTTACACTCTAAAACTTTTCATGAACTGTTGCACACTAAAACTCTACATTAACTGTTACACTCTAAAACTTTTCATGAACTGTTGCACACTAAAACTCTACATTAACTGTTACACTCTAAAACTTGTCATGAACTGTTACACACTAAAACTTTACATTAACTGTTACACTCTAAAACTTGTCATGAACTGTTACACATTAAAACTTTACATTAACTGTTACACTCTAAAACTTGTCATGAACTGTTACACACTAAAACTCTACATTAACTGTTACACTCTAAAACTTTTCATGAACTGTTACACAGTAAAACTCTACATTAACTGCCATCTCATCCGCAGGAGTTCCACTCAGTGCTATGGGTGCCATGACTGCCATGGGTGGGTATGGGCTGCCACCTGGCTTTGGTGCTGCTAGAATAGGTTTGCCTTATACAACGGCCATGGGAAGTTCGGTTATTCTTGTTTCTAATCTTGATGAGGAGGTAAGAGTTATCTTTCTTTAAATGAATAACAACTGATAGTTAAGTTTATCTTATGTATGTACATCCATGTAAAGTAGGTCAGTAAATTACCACTTTCACATCAGTAGCTTACCGAGCAAATGAAGCTAGACCCATGTTTGAATAGAGCAGTGATTCCCAAACTGTTCTCTGCAGCCTCTTCACATGGGCGCCACAAAATATTGTAAAAAGCTTTATAATTAATTTAACTAAGACACATAGTCATATTTTTACTCAGGTTAGGGTGCTGTGGAAAAAATGTTAATTAAAAAAAGGTGCCGCGACCAAGAAACGTTTGGGAAATATTGGTATAGAACAACTGACAGATGACAGGTCAAGTTCTTGACATCAGCATTGTTGTTTTAATTTAATAGCTTTATAATGGACTGACAAGTGGTCAATCAGTCTCATGTATAATGCTGCCATTTTCAATCTTATACTGTAGAATGGCTTCTAAATCATAATTGTGCTTAATTTCCTGACTCTGTAAAACTCTTTGATGCAAGGAATCTCTGTTTCTGTTTTTCTAGTCCTGACTATGATTTGCTTTTCCTAACCCCTTGTACCATATCCAATTGTTAGTTATCCAACATTATCCAGCTACTTAACTTTCCTGGTTAACGATGTTAATATATGAACTGTTTTATGAACTTTTTCATTACACTGAATTAACAACTGGTCAAAACAGTACGAGTTAAGATAATAAATATTCTAGGATTTACTATTAAACACTTCTAAACCTAAAATTGTCTGTCTGATGATGATGATACCTAACTACAAGCCTTGTTCAAGTGTATAATTATACATTTTGTCTTAGGCCTTGAATTTACTCAACCTATGCTGTCTTTTCCGAGACATGTTCGTTTGTCACAATCTGATAGATTTAATGAGTTTAACCAAAAGTGGCTGCTCTTTCAAGTCAGTTTTATTAGGTTATTTTATCCCTTTTTACTTCCATTCACAAGTGTCAATTTTCATTTAATAACACAAAAACAAAATATTACATTTTGCCAATGTCACATAACATTTTAAATTACAAATATGTTAACGAAGATAGGGGTCATATTCACAGTGTAATAGGACTCACATTCATGCTTTCTCACCTATGACACGGACTAGTCTATGTTAGAGGGTGTCATGTTGTCTTGCTTTTGCGAAGAGGTTTCTATATTATGCGTATATAGGTGGCAAGCTGTACAGTGTGTTTTACTTGTTGCAAGAGATTGGGTATATTATGGACTTCAGGTGCGGCATGAATTTAGGTCAGCTGTAAGCGTTGATGAGTGACTAGGATGAGAGAGTTGCTTTTCTAGAGCAAAACATGTTTTTAGGGCGGATTGGAAAATGTTAACGACTCTTAAACCATGTGACATACTCTGGAATTTCTTATAGGACCTATGCTGAGGCTGTAGGTAGGGGGGGTTTGGGTTAGGACCAGTTCTAGATGTTCAGGGGTCATTAAAAGCTGTGTTGTCATGTAGCCTAAAACACGTGACATCGGCGCTGATGTAATTGGAGATAAGGCAATGCAACACCCCTCTACCATAGATTAGCCCATGTCACAGGTGACAAAGCATGAATGAAAGCCCAATTACACTATGTTTGGGCCGGGAAATGTAAGCAGGACCAAGAAATGATGTCACCTAATAAATAAGCAGACTTAACTGCAGAAGAATTTAGGACCCACTGTGTCATGAAGACATTTGAGCTGAATCTCTTGGATATTTGACCTGTGTCTATTGTCAGTGGATCAAAACAGGTCATTGATTTGTCAAATTGCACAAACTCTTTGAAATAATATCTTTTCTCTGGAAACAAATGTGAGGAATGGCTAAGTTTGTCATTTCCTGACATCAAAATCTCAAGACATCAAATTAGGACCAGATGTGTGTGAAAGATGTAACACTTCAGACCATGCAGTAATTTTGTTGTGCTGTAACTGCCACGATCTTACACAGAAGTAAAGAAAGTTAGCACTGGCAGTTTTCTCACAGTACAGCAATCTCATCAACAGACATCTCTAGCTGTATATTAAAAAAATAGTAATATATTTTATATCTGTTTGATTATATATTTTGATGGTTTTAATTAATTATTAGCTTGACTTTTTTTCCCCAACACATTATTAATTAATTAGATTAAATTACAGCTTTATCTGCAGATCCATAGTTGCTCATATCTCCTCCTCAGCAACCCTACAAGTGTAAAATAACTTATCAAATCCATTCTGTGTTTATCAATCAAATAAGTAGAGCTGTGTTGTGAAAAATTTCTTAATGACATTTTTATAATTTCTGAACTTTAGTCTGCATGTCTGTCATTCATTTTGCATGTTATATTAAATTATTTACAGTTAATATGATTTCAGTTTGAAACGGTTAGCATGTATTATATTTTTCAAAAACTAGCTGGCATTAAACAGTGAAAAGCATTGTTTGCGATATTTTAATAGTTGCAACTGAGAATGTTACAAAGATGCTTTAGCCAGATTTTAAATTATCAAGATGAAATTATTTTTAACTCCACTGTTTCCATAAAATGTATACTCATGCTATACTGTTTTTATTTCACTATCTAACTTATTGTTTTCTCTTTCCCCGCTCCCACTCACTCTCTGTGCCTCATCCATGTACCCCAACCACGCATATGCTGCACTCCGCTCTGCTCCCTGTTTGCTGATTGGCTGTGACCGCGGCTGGGACCCTCACTTTTGTTTCTGGATGGCTGGGTGTTTAACTGAATGCACAACCACTATCTACCCTCCCTTGAAAACAAACACCATATATCACAATGTAAACTGGCACTGCTGTCACAGATGGTCAGCCCAGATGCTCTATTTACTCTTTTTGGTATGTTAAACACTCATTTTTCTCTGTATTTTAATTTTGTACAAACCTTCATTTATTATAACTACAGTTTAATTAATTATTAGACATTCGCTTTTCAATTTCTGTGTGAACTGCATTCACAGTAAAAAGATTTTGTATAAAAAAAGCTCTTCAATGTTTGAAACAAAATTGTCCTGGAAGAAATATATTATTTAAATATTTCAAAACTGCATAATTGACGAGTGAAACATGATTTGCATTTGAAGGGTTTAAGGTGAAGATGATTATAATAATGCTCAAAGTTCTCTTTCTTTTTTTGAGGTTATATTAACAAATTCCATCTTTTTAAATGTTCTATTCTTTCATCAGCTTTGTTATTTGAGATCTTCTACATTTATCTTTTATTAGCATAATTTCATATGGACTATACTTTTTATTTTACCTAGACTTTGCTCTCTGTTTGATGGTTTTGCCTGTTTCTTTGTGACTCAAGCTAATCAGTCATATAGTCTTTATGTCACTGATGTTGTTTTAGTTCTGTATTTAAGCTTAGAAAATGGACATTGGCATTCAAGATATGTATTCAAATAGCAGGTAAATAAATCAGGTAAACAAATACAATCAAATAGTAAACGCTGAGAGAAAAATACAAAGTACATGATACTTACCTTGGCCACTCTACATGTTTCAAACAAAATGTAGTGTCTCCTATCTTTACTGCAGTCACCTCATTTCAACAATTTAATATATACCACCCATGCACAGTGAAATTATCCTTTCCCCATGGTTTTGATTCCCTCTGGGCATTGGGTTTTAGACCAATTATAGTAAAATTTAAAAAATTCGTAAAGGAAGATTTACCACTGTAGGCCTAATGCAGGTTAGTGTATGAATGTGCTGTGCTACTTCAGAAACAAGCTCATCACATTCTAAAAGGTGAAGTTTTAGCTTCAGTCTGAACATCCCATAGGTTAAACAGAGAGGTCTGCAGCACAGTTCCCCTGGAGATATAACTTTGACACTGGGTCTGAGAAAATAGTCTGTGTCAGACTTAGACGGTTACCAGGCAGTGTCCTGTGTGATGTTGACTCAGTGCTGATGATCGGTCTATAAAATATAGAACCAGTGCTGTATACCAGATGTGCCACAGGCTTGAAAAGAGTCACTCTCCTTTGTGGAGAAAACAAGAAGATACACACTGCCCCTCCCCCCTTCCTCAAAGCATGTTATAGAATTCAACTAATTGGAAGTTTCCTGAGAAGTCAAAGTGCATCTGTCTGAGAAGCAAAGAACCAGCAGTCTGCACACAAAGAAGTTAGATCTATAAAATGAATGAGCACTTAGGTTCTGGAACATGACAAAAGTCTAGAAATAAATGAACAACAAGAACACTCCGCTGCAGTTAACAGCTGGTGAACATGAAGAAGCAGAAGATGAAAGGAGTCTTTTTTGTTTCTTTCAACGTATCCAACTGGGAGTTTGAAAAAAAAAAAAAAAATCAGTTAAAAAGAGAAGAAAAAAGATTCACAGCCTAAAGGGTTTTTACATCCTCTCAATAAAACATCAGTCTTCATGATCTAAAACAGCCTTCATTACAATATCACATTTCTCTAAATCTGTAACCAAGTTATTTTTATCTCTATTGATTTCTCGCTGTAATACAACCACTGGAAAAGTCAAACATTCTAACCTGCACTGTTTATGGTTTATAGTGACTGCACTAGTCAGTCAGTCTTGAATACTTGGGCTCAAGCCACACCGCCCCCCCCCCCCCTTTTTTTTTTTTTTCTTTAAAAAAGTGGTGCATTTAGGGGAAAATACAAATAAAAAATTTTTATAGGGCTATTTCAACTGTAAAATGTAATGTACAATGAACAGTAATTTTATTCACTCCTGCATTCGTACAAAAGTCATTTGGTTTGCCTTTTATAGAAAACAATTTTTTTGTTCATTTTTTTGCCCTTGTTTGTTACTCAGCTGACATATTATAAGTTTATCTTTTTAACATTTCTCTTTACAAATAGAAACATTTCTTGGTATCTTACACATTTTAGGCCACTGTATACAAAAACACAAATCTAACCTAGTTTATTTATGGATAGCATTTCCCCTATGACAATTTGCTCCTACCCTTTTTACTCAAATGCAGTCAAAAATCTTATTTTGTTTTGTTTTGTTTGTTTGTGTACAAAACTATCTTCATCTTTTGAAGAACAAAATGGTGTATTTTTCTTCTGACTTAGAATTAATTCTTTTATGATAAATATTGAAATCTTCCTGTCGTCTCATTGCTCATTGCTGCCTTTGATCTATTATATTTTCTTTCTTTATGAACTGCACAATTTTCACTTGCTTTATTCGCCTTCTTTATGTTCGTCCTACCTTTAATTTTTTTTGGGGTAAATTTTTATTTTATTAAAAAAAATAATAATAATAATAAACCAGACACTTGATTACAACTTGTATCATAAGAGGTGAATTGTGTCTATACAGTATAACTCTGTCAACCCTATGAAATAAATGTATCATGAGAGGTGAATTGTGTCTATACAGTATAACTCTGTCAACCCTATGAAATAAATGTATCATGAGAGGTGAATTGTGTCTATACAGTATAACTCTGTCAACCCTAAGAAATAAATGTATCATGAGAGGTGAATTGTGTCTATACAGTATAACTCTGTCAACCCTATGAAATAAATGTATCATGAGAGGTGAATTGTGTCTATACAGTATAACTCTGTCAACCCTATGAAATAAATGTATCATGAGAGGTGAATTGTGTCTATACAGTATAACTCTGTCAACCCTATGAAATAAATGTATCATGAGAGGTGAATTGTGTCTATACAGTATAACTCTGTCAACCCTATGAAATAAATGTATCATGAGAGGTGAATTGTGTCTATACAGTATAACTCTGTCAACCCTATGAAATAAATGTATCATGAGAGGTGAATTGTGTCTATACAGTATAACTCTGTCAACCCTATGAAATAAATGTATCATGAGAGGTGAATTGTGTCTATACAGTATAACTCTGTCAACCCTATGAAATAAATGTATCATGAGAGGTGAATTGTGTCTATACAGTATAACTCTGTCAACCCTATGAAATAAATGTATCATGAGAGGTGAATTGTGTCTATACAGTATAACTCTGTCAACCCTAAGAAATAAATGTATCATGAGAGGTGAATTGTGTCTATACAGTATAACTCTGTCAACCCTAAGAAATAAATGTATCATGAGAGGTGAATTGTGTCTATACAGTATAACTCTGTCAACCCTATGAAATAAATGTATCATGAGAGGTGAATTGTGTCTATACAGTGTAACTCTGTCAACCCTAAGAAATAAATGTATCATGAGAGGTGAATTGTGTCTATACAGTATAACTCTGTCAACCCTATGAAATAAATGTATCATGAGAGGTGAATTGTGTCTATACAGTATAACTCTGTCAACCCTAAGAAATAAATGTATCATGAGAGGTGAATTGTGTCTATACAGTATAACTCTGTCAACCCTAAGAAATAAATGTATCATGAGAGGTGAATTGTGTCTATACAGTATAACTCTGTCAACCCTAAGAAATAAATGTATCATGAGAGGTGAATTGTGTCTATACAGTATAACTCTGTCAACCCTATGAAATAAATGTATCATGAGAGGTGAATTGTGTCTATACAGTGTAACTCTGTCAACCCTATGAAATAAATGTATCATGAGAGGTGAATTGTGTCTATACAGTATAACTCTGTCAACCCTATGAAATAAATGTATCATGAGAGGTGAATTGTGTCTATACAGTGTAACTCTGTCAACCCTAAGAAATAAATGTATCATGAGAGGTGAATTGTGTCTATACAGTATAACTCTGTCAACCCTATGAAATAAATGTATCATGAGAGGTGAATTGTGTCTATACAGTATAACTCTGTCAACCCTAAGAAATAAATGTATCATGAGAGGTGAATTGTGTCTATACAGTATAACTCTGTCAACCCTAAGAAATAAATGTATCATGAGAGGTGAATTGTGTCTATACAGTATAACTCTGTCAACCCTAAGAAATAAATGTATCATGAAAGGTGAATTGTGTCTATACAGTATAACTCTGTCAACCCTAAGAAATAAATGTATCATGAGAGGTGAATTGTGTCTATACAGTATAACTCTGTCAACCCTAAGAAATAAATGTATCATGAGAGGTGAATTGTGTCTATACAGTATAACTCTGTCAACCCTATGAAATAAATGTATCATGAGAGGTGAATTGTGTCTATACAGTATAACTCTGTCAACCCTATGAAATAAATGTATCATGAGAGGTGAATTGTGTCTATACAGTATAACTTTGTCAACCCTAAGAAATAAATGTATCATGAGAGGTGAATTGTGTCTATACAGTATAACTCTGTCAACCCTATGAAATAAATGTATCATGAGAGGTGAATTGTGTCTATACAGTGTAACTCTGTCAACCCTAAGAAATAAATGTATCATGAGAGGTGAATTGTGTCTATACAGTATAACTCTGTCAACCCTATGAAATAAATGTATCATGAGAGGTGAATTGTGTCTATACAGTATAACTCTGTCAACCCTATGAAATAAATGTATCATGAGAGGTGAATTGTGTCTATACAGTATAACTCTGTCAACCCTAAGAAATAAATGTATCATGAGAGGTGAATTGTGTCTATACAGTATAACTCTGTCAACCCTATGAAATAAATGTATCATGAGAGGTGAATTGTGTCTATACAGTATAACTCTGTCAACCCTATGAAATAAATGTATCATGAGAGGTGAATTGTGTCTATACAGTATAACTCTGTCAACCCTAAGAAATAAATGTATCATGAGAGGTGAATTGTGTCTATACAGTATAACTCTGTCAACCCTAAGAAATAAATGATGTGTGACTATTCTTCATCTTGAACCTCAATCAACACATCATAGGTTCTTTTATGTTTTATATTTGACCAGAGCACATTAAAGAAATCTGGCATATTTATTTAGTGGCTTTTTACCCTGGCTATTTAGTCTTTACAAATCATACACTTGTGGTTTTCCAAAGTTCCTATCTGTCCCCTTGGGATTCTGCTGTAAAACATTCCAGGAGTAAAAGGCTTTGAAATAGAAGAAACAGCAGTGACTGTTGTTTATCAAAAGTCTTACCTGTGTCATGGTTATTGTGCTTACGAGCAACAGTAGGTTTTGGTTCCATTTTGTTTTCAATGGCCAAACTGGATTTTGTTTTTACTAGTATATTGCAAATTCTTTGGTCACATCAGGAGTATGAGAAAAATGGAGGACACTGTGGCAGTGGGGGAAAGAAGCAGAGGGAGGTCACGGGAGAACATGCTGGACAGTTTGACATGATGATCATCTGTGTCACAAATGATTGAGAGAATACCAGACAGCAAACTGGACTGAAGTTTACAAACATTTTCTAAGAAGGAATGTTAGTCACGTTGCCTTCTTTTGATACTTCCAAATATCCATGAGAAGACAAGGTGTCAGAGAAATGGTGGACATGTTTGTAAAATGGAGACAAGCTGGAGATGCTACAGTTCTTCCATCTCCCCTGGGTAGAGGGCCAACCTTTTGGTCTGCACAGATTAGAAGAACTTGGTTTGAAATTTGACAAACCCTATGTGAAAAGTTGGAGAGACTCCACCTTGCTCTGTAAACATTGTAAGATTAGAGTTTTATTGCTTCAGTATCATGATGGTTGCACGCATGATTTATAAGCCTACATGTTTGGAGTTTGAAAAAAAGAAAAAAGAAAAACTGCACAACTCATGGGATTTGTCTAACTTGACAGATACCACTTGTCTAACTTGACAGATACCACTTGTCTAACTTGACAGATACCACTTGTCTAACTTGACAGATACCACTTGTCTAACTTGACAGATACCACTTGTCTAACTTGACAGGTACCACTTGTCTAACTTGACAGATACCACTTGTCTAACTTGACAGATACCACTTGTCTAACTTGACAGATACCACTTGTCTAACTTGACAGATACCACTTGTCTAACTTGACAGATACCACTTGTCTAACTTGACAGATACCACTTGTCTAACTTGACAGATACCACTTGTCTAACTTGACAAATACCACTTGTCTAACTTGACAAATACCACTTGTCTAACTTGACAAATACCACTTATTCAACTTGACAGATACCATTTGTCTAACTTGACAGATACCATTTGTCCAACTTGACAGATACCATTTGTCCAACTTGACAGATACCATTTGTCCAACTTGACAGATACCATTGCTGTTTCTTAAAGTAAAGGTCCCATTTCTATGCCTTTAGGCATATTGGGCTAGACCTATATTTTATAGACCCATCAGCACCACCTTTACTTTCCAGGACTGCACCTGGTACCCACTTAAGGCTAGGTCGTCAACCTGGGAGTCAAGGTCATTTTTGAAAAAAGTCAGGCTCAGCCAGGACACAAACCCACGACCTTCTGATCCGCAGGCTGGTGTCAATGCCCTGGCTATTCCCGCTGCTTCTTAAATCTTTTATATATTCTTTCCGCAGACATTTTCTTTAGATTTGCTGGTTATTATTTTCAAAGTATAATTACCTTTCTATGTAAATGTTTTACAATTAAACATGGTTAGTGAGAATTCTACCAATCGAATCAAATACCAACGTATTCTAATTGACACTGATGTACCTCAGGTGTGTACGGAGATGTACAGAGAGTCAAAGTCTTGTTTAATAAGAAAGACAATGCACTTATACAAATGGCAGATCCACACCAGGCACAACTGGGTAAGTTTTGAGATCAAATATCTTGTCTAGTTTTCAGTCAGTCACTAATAAGTGTTAGCTGTTTTCAAATGAAATACTTGTTTCTGTCCTAAAAAATCTTGTAATGTGTGTTAGCTATTTTTGAATAAAATACACTTTGGTTTAATATATCACAGAAAATATCACCAAGCGTTGAAATAAAATACCTGGCCACCCACTTACATAACATTTCAGCCCACCTGCCTGCTTAGCTACCTACCTAGCAATGTATCTCCTCTAAATATATGTGTCTTGAGAATGGCCTAGAAGAGAGACAGAGAGCATTAGAGATCTAGTGGAGCCAACCTTCATCATGGAGATGACACCAGACTGATTTCCTGCTTTAACTCTTCATCATATGTTGATAGGTTGATAGGATCCTACCTAGAAGCCCAATGAACGCACTATGCCTCAATTTTATTGCTTTCTTAACTACTCCCTGGGCCTGTGATGCTAAACCCCCTGGGACTCAAAGAGTTAAGCAAAAAAAAAACAAAAAACATTCTCTACGGCTCAGTCTGTGGGGCTGGCATACATAAGACAGCTGATGTTCTGCTTTCAAAGGATCCGCAGTCAAAACACGTACAGTGTAGGCCTGATAAGGAGAACTCACGAGGGACCCTAGAAATGGTTCTTCCTATCTGAAGTTTCTCTTATCCAGATAAGAGTTCAAGCCAGAAAAATGAAGGGGGTAAACAAATTGTTCTTCACAGCAGAAATTTGCCACATCTCCTTAAGCAGTCTTTACTGTATATGATAGACTGCTTGTGTCACACTGTGCTAATGAGATTTTTGGTTTCAATACAATTTGCTTTGCACTGTTGTTATCACAATTAAAGTGATACTGCACATTAGGCATTCCCATGTATGCTTTACCTGGCACGACTCCAAGATCATGCAATCAGAGATTCCTAATTCTCCGCCATGTCCATTCAGTTTAGCATTGATACTATCTGTCCTGTCCATGCATCTTCCCACTTACAATGGGACTATACTGACCAGCTGGTCCACTCATTCATACTAGCATATCTATGTGTGTAGATCCAGGAGAAGTAGGTTAAGTGCGACTTCTGAATGCTGTCTACTCATTCTTGGCAGGGGCTGCCCCCTGTGTTGTTGTGTACACAATGTTCTGTAAAGTCAAGATGGCTTATGTAATATTGAGTGAACACACCAGTTGAGTAAAAATTGGACTTTAAAAAATATAGGGTTAATATTATTGGCCTAACGTTGCTTGAGGCATTGAAATGGGCCCTTTCCCCTCCCTGTCTGGCTGTGTATGCCACAAGTGATGTCGAGGTGCTAAACTACATGTGGTGGTACACATGAGCTAGGTCTCGGACTTGTCAAGGCCTCTAGTTGGTCATCCCAGAAATAACTGGATGCCTGGACAACAAAGATGGGATCATCATTTCCTTCTAAGTCAGAATGCAACTGTTTCAGAATCAAGGAACCAACAGTCTGCACACAAATAAGCCAGATCTGTATACAGCTGTGTAAACAAAACTCAAGACCTGGAGCAAGACCAAAGTCCAGAAGTGGACAAACAATCAGGTCTTTCTAATGCAGTTTACAGCTGGTGAACATGAAGAAGAAGAAGTATGTCATAAGACTAACTGGCAACTGTTATATTATCAATATGTCTGTTTACAGCGATCACCTACCTGGACAAAGCAAGACTCTGGGGAAAGCAGATCAGAGTAGCCCAGTCTAAACACCAAGTAGTTCAGATGCCCAAGGAAGGACAGTCTGTAAGTTCTGCAACTTTGTATGAGTTCCTTATTGGTACTGAACTTGTAATGCTTTGATGGTGCCTGGCTTAGGCCAGGTTTCCTATTTATCAGTCCATGAAATAGGTTTTCTAAGCCCAAGTTCTCCAAGTAGCTGTTATAATAACCTGTGCTAACCCAAATGTCACTAACTCTTTTGGTGCCTTACTGCGGCTATCCTGACCCCTCTGGATCTATATTATTACTGTAGGTAAAAAATATTGACGAATCAACAAGTTAAGTGATACCTAACTGGGTCTGAAAGAGTTAAACAGTAAAATCTTGTTAACACAAACAAACCTAGGACATCACTCAGTTAACATGAACAAAACTGTAGTCACAGTAGGGATATTGATAATTAGTTTCTGGTTAGCACAACAATGTTTAACACAAACTCTTGCTTGTACTGTGACTTAGAATTCATGTTAAAACCATCTTACTGTGTTATAAATTATCCTAAAGTCAGAATACAGCTGTGCCCATGAAACTCCAGACCTGGAACAGAAGACACGTCCAGAAGTGGACAAACAATTAGAACTTTTAAATGGAGTTTGTAGCTGGTGAACTTGAAGAACAAGAAATGTCATGAGACTGACATCTTTCATATGATAGATAATTTGCTACATGAGTTGCCATCTTTTTGATGCTCAGAGTTGATTTTCATGGAAAAATGATGTCTTATACTGTTTGCAAGTGAATTTATTGTACGAAAAATTGATGCCAGTTCTAGGATGCTAATTTGTGGTCTTGTTCCACCCGCAGGATGCCGGCCTTACTAAAGACTTCGTCAACTCACCACTTCATCGATTTAAACGCCCAGGATCCAAGAACTGTCAAAACATCTTCCCTCCATCACAAGTTCTGCATTTATCCAACATTCCGTAAGTCAGAAATTAACTACACACAATAACAACAGACGCTAGTATAGTTTTAGGTAAATTATTGGGAAGTAAAGGTGGCTGTCAGATAGTGATACTGTATTGTTAATGTGATTATGAAGTGAGATTACTGTACTCTGTACAATTGCTTGAGTGCCCCTTCTCCCAGAGTGAGTCACTTGATACATATTTTTTTGGGGGCCTCACTGCTTCACTCTGCTCATATTTATTCATAACTCCATTTATCATCATCATCACCCCTTAACACTACCTGTCGTTGGGTCACCAGTTTCTGTTGACTGTCTGATCAGCTCTCTCCACCTTTGACGGTCAGTTGCGAGGGACTTCATGGTTGTATGCCTGAAGCCTGTCCAGTCAGTCAGGTTCTGTAACCAGGTCTTTCTTGGTCTGCCTCTTCTCTTCTTACCATCTACTGAGCCCTGCAATATTGTTTTTGAGAGGCCATTAGATCTTATTACATGTCCATACCATTGCATGTTTCGCCTTTTCACTGTAGTTAAAAGAGGTTCATATTTGCCAATGTGCTGTATAATTTTATGGCGAACTTCTCTGTTTGAAATGTGGGCTCTATATTATATGCCAAGAATTTTTAGGAAACATAGCATTTCTAATGCTTGCATCTTTCTTTCAAGTTCATCTGTTAAGGTCCACATTTCACTGCCATATGTAAATGTACTAATAGCTAGTGCTATGAACAATCAAATCTTAGTTTTGCATGAAATGTTTTTGGATCTCCCTAATGTTTGCCCCTTGGCAAGGACTGATGTTGTCTGGGCAATCCTAGACATGATTTCTGGTCTTGACACCCGTCACTTAAAATGGATCCTAAATATGTGAAATGAGTCACTTGTTTTTATTTGTGGCTTTTAACATAGACTGGTTAAATTCTGACAGCTTGAATATTAGTCATTAATTTTGTATTCTCTGCTTTTATTTCCATTTCATACTTGGTTGATGTTTCATTGAGTGGATTTACAAGCTCAGCTAGTTCTTGTTCTTCTCTGACCAACCCATCAATGCCATCTGCAAACCTTAAGTCTGTTATTGTTCGACCTCCAATACTAACTGTTCCATAAGGTTGTTCTAGTTCTAGGGCATCAGTGATAATTCTTTCTAAAAAGATGTTAAACATTGTTGGAGAGAGGAAGCAGCCTTGCCAGACTCCTACTGTTGTTTGGAACCAGCTTACTATTTGTCTATTCAGCGTGACAGCACTGCTGGCCTTGGCATAGAGCTGCTCTGTACTATGTTTGAGGGTTTTCCCATACTGTACTTTTTCATAGTGTCCTAGAGTGGCAATTTTTCTGGTGGTATGCTGGCAGTTTTCTGGTGGTAGGTTGGCAGTTTTCTAGTGGTAGGTTGGCAGTTTTCTTGTGGTAGGTTGGCAGTTTTCTGGTGGTAGGTTGGCAGTTTTCTGGTGGTATTTTGGCAGTTTTCTGGTGGTATGTTGGCAGTTTTCTGGTGGTATGTTGGCAGTTTTCTGGTGGTAGGTTGGCAGTTTTCTGGTATTTTGGCAGTTTTCTGGTGGTATTTTGGCAGTTTTCTGGTGGTATGTTGGCAGTTTTCTAGTGGTAGGTTGGCAGTTTTCTGGTGGTAGGTTGGCAGTTTTCTGGTGGTATTTTGGCAGTTTTCTAGTGGTAGGTTGGCACTTTTCTGGTGGTATGTTGGCATAGTTTTCTGGTGGTATGTTGGCATAGTTTTTTGGTGGCATGTTGGCACAGTTTTCTGGTGGTATGTTGGCATAGTTTTCTGGTGGCATGTTGGCATAGTTTTCTGGTGGTATGTTGGCATAGTTTTCTGGTGGTATGTTGGCATAGTTTTCTGGTGGCATGTTGGCATAGTTTTCTGGTGGTATGTTGGCATAGTTTTCTGGTGGTATGTTGGCATAGTTTTCTGGTGGTATGTTGGCATAGTTTTCTGGTGGTATGTTTGCACAGTTTTCTGGTGGTATGTTGGCACAGTTTTCTGGTGGTATGTTGGCATAGTTTTCTGGTGGTATGTTGGCATAGTTTTCTGGTGGTATGTTGGCAGTTTTCTGGTGGTATGTTGGCAGTTTTCTGGTGGTATGTTGGCAGTTTTCTGGTGGTATGTTGGCATAGTTTTCTGGTGGTATGTTGGCATAGTTTTCTGGTGGTATGTTGGCATTGTTTTCTGGTGGTATGTTGGCATAGTTTTCCTGTGGAATGTTGGCACAGTGTTTTAGACATCATATTTTCTGCGCTGCAATAACAGACATGCTGTGCTAAGTACCGGCACCATTTTAAGACACTTTGTGAGTATCAGGACCTTTAATAAGGTTTTTACCCACAAATGGAGAGTCTCTGTGGCCGGGCGGCTAGACGCTCACCGTGGATCGGAAGGTCGTGGGTTCGCTCCCTGGCGGAGCCGAACTATTTTCAGAAATGACCCTGGCTCCCAGGTCGACCCAGCTTTGAGTGGGTACCGGGTGCAGTCCCGGGAAGAAAAGGCGGCCGGCATGATGCTGACCACATCACCCATCTTGTGCCGATTGGTCTTTAAAAATTTAGGTCTAGCCCTATATGCCGAAAGGCGTGGAAAAGGGTTATTTACTTTACTTGTTTACCCACAAATAGCTGGAACATTATTCCTAAACAACAACAAAAACCCAACAGTGATTGTATTTATCTCCTGGCTGTAATTATAATGACACATTTCTGTGACCATTTCACAGAGCCCATGTGACTGAGGAAAACCTTGTTTCCTGGTTCAGTGAGTACGGAACAGTCAAGGCTTTCAAATTTTTCCCGTGAGTAAACAAACATTGTGATTTGAATCATCTTTACTGTTCTTCAAGTTATGACTGTTCTAGCAGTGTCTACAGAAGACTGGTTTTGGCTATACACTGGTTTATTCTTTAACTCTTAAGATCCCCCCCCCCCCCCTTTTCCCCCTCAGTTGAAAAAAAAAATAAACTTTGACTACTGAAGAGACTGCTGGCATAAGAAAATGGAGGAAACTGAAAAACATCTTAAGTAATCAAAGTTACATGAACAATAAAATAAATCTATAAATTCAAAGAAAACACAGCCTGACCATAAAGCATACAACACAACAGCTGATATAAGATGCCAGGCAAGATGCGAGAGATGATACAGTCGAGTCCACTGAAGTCGAACTCGGACAAGTCGAAGTCGAATTTCGGTTAAGTTGACATGACCAGCTTAGTCCCGGCAATTTTCTCTATTGTGTGTGCTGTCTGGGTAAGTAGAAATCCTGATAAGTGGAAGCATTTTCTTAGGTCCCTGCGACTTCTACTTATCCAGACTTGACTGCATTTGTATCAACACAAATTGACAAATTGCAGTTAACATGACATCAATGGCAAGTGCCTGTAAACCTGATAATCCTTGTGTGGGTTTTGGGGATCCACTTTTAGAGGGGGGGGGGGGGGGGGAGGGTGTTAATAGACCCGCTGTACCGAAAGAGGCATGTGATAAAAAGCAATGAATTAAGGGTTTGGTGAAAGTGGATGTGTTAGGTTGAAAGGCACCTAATTACAGTCTCGCTGAAGAAGAGGAAGACATGGTAAAGTGTGTCTGACACCAGCCTTGCTGTCAACCGCAATAGAACATGCCAACCACCTGTTTGTTTTAGTATCCAAAAGCCATCAGTTGTTAACCCTTAGGCTCGGTATTAAGGATATCGCAACCTTTCGGCCTTGATTCCATTTTAAATACCGTAAATCTGGGAGAAATGTGGCTTTTCTGCCCACCCCCAAGAGTGAACCCGGACCACAAGGAGTTCGTCACCCGCTTACAGCGCAATCCTGTTTAGCCAACTACGCTAGAGAGACGGGCCAACCACCTGTTTAAAGGTGAATGCAGAGGAAGAAGGAAACTGATACAGCATGTCTGACACAGATAAAAATACACCCTTCCTGCCTTCATGGGCTGCAAACTTCAGAGACAGTTCTGCTTGTGTGTCCGCTTCTGGACTTGTTTCATAAGTTCAATTTTGCATGCACACCGATTTTAAAGATCTGGCTGTATTTGTGTGCAGACTGTTGGTTCCTCACCTCTTAGACAGATACACTCTAACTTCAAAAGATACATCCCTAATTAGTCAACTTTTACACCATTCCTGTTAGATGCAGTGGTTCTAATCTTGTTTGCCCTAAAACAGGGCCACGGAACCACACAGGGAGACAGGATAAGTGATACTGCCAGGAAAACCCAACATACACACACAACACACACACAAAAACAGTGTTGTAATTTCTACAATCATTGATTGTTTTGCAGGAAGGACAGAAAAATGGCTCTGATCCAGATGGGCAGTGTGGAGGAAGCTATACATGCTTTGATCGTAAGTTGTCTGGCTGTGATAGAAACACATATTTAACCATTATTGTGTTGATGTGATGCAAGTTGTACAAAATACCAACAAAAAGTGCAGGTCCTTTCTAGAAAGTCACTCTTGTCACAGAACACCTGAAAGTCACTCTTGTCACAGAACACCTGAAAGTCACTCTAGTCACAGAACGCCTGAAAGTCACTCTAGTCACAGAATGTCTGAAAGTCACTCTTGTCACAGAACACCTGAAAGTCACTCTAGTCACAGAATGCCTGAAAGTCACTCTTCTCACAGAACGCCTGAAAGTCTCTCTTGTCACAGAACACCAGAAAGTCACTCTTGTCACAGAACGCCTGAAAGTCACTCTTGTCACAGAATGTCTGAAAGTCACTCTTGTCACAGAACACCTGAAAGTTACTCTTGACACAGAACACCTGAAAATCACTCTTGTCACAGAACGCCTGAAAGTCTCTCTTGTCACAGAAAGCCTGAAAGTCACTTTTGTCACAGAAAGCCTGAAAGTCACTCTTGTCACACAAAGCCTGAAAGTCACTTTTGTCACAGAAAGCCTGAAAGTCACTTTTGTCACAGAAAACCTGAAAGTCACTTTTGTCACAGAAAACCTGAAAGTCACTTTTGTCACAGAAAGCCTGAAAGTCTCTCTCCCT